TCCCTCCAAGGGTCCCAGTTTAGCAGGGAGACTGCCACTTCATTCTCTTTTGTCCCGCTTTGGCTGCCTTTAAAGACATATATGTGTGTGTTTACATATATGTGTGTGTATATTTATATGTATATGTGCGTATCTATGTATGTATATATGTAAAGAATGTATATGCATATGTGTGTGTATATATATATATATATATATATCAAATGTGTATATCATATATGTATATTATGTGTGTATGTATATGTATATGTGTGTATATATAATATGTATAGTATATATGCATGTGTACAATAATATACAGTATATTCTGGCGTATAAGACTACTTTTTAACCCAAGAAAATCTTCTCAAAAGTCAGGGGTCGTCTTATATGCGGGTGTAGTCTTATGCATGGGAGTCATCTTAACTCTATATTTTAACTGGAAAAGTTGGGGGTCGTCTTATACGCCCAGTCGTCTTATATGCCGGAATATACGGTAATTTATGTATGTGTATATGATGTGTGTATGTATATATATGTATTATATATAATATGTGTATATTTATATACATGTGTGTTATATATGTATACCATGCATGTATGTGTGTATATCATATATAAGTATATAATGCATATTTATGCATATTATATATGTATTATATAGGTGTGTATATTTATATGTATATATTATCATCATCATCACTTTATTTCTTAATTAGTCGCTCTCCACCAAAGTGCTCCGAGCGACTTACAATTTAAAACAGTTTATACACAATATAAAACATTCAATATAAAATCATTCAATATAAAAACATTCAACATAAAACATTCAACATAAAAACATTCAGCAGTGACTATGGCAAAATTTGATCCAGTTACTTAAATGCACAACCAAACAGCCAAGTCTTGAGCGCCTTTGCAAAAGGTCGCAACTCCGACATTGCTCTAATATATGGAGGCAATGAGTTCCACAGAATTGGAGCATAGGTCGAAAAAGCTCTACGCCTTGTAGCTTCCAAATGTGCCTCCCTAGGACCCGGTATGTATAGGAGATTTTCCTGGGTGGATCGAGGTGACCACTGATGGAAAAGGAATGAGGCGGTCCCTAAGATATAAAGGTCCTTGGCCATTTTGAGCTCTAAATGTCAGGATCAGTATCTTGTAAGAGATCCGATGTTCTATTGGTAGCCAATGCAGTTGTTGCAGAATCGGTGTAATATGGGATCTTAGAGATGATCCTGCTAGCAGCCTGGCTGCCGCATTTTGGACCATCCGAATCTTCTGGGTCGTTGACTTCGGAAGGCCAGCATAGAAGGCATTGCAATAGTCCAACCTCGTGGTGACTGTTGCGTGGATTACCGTTGCCAATGCTTCTACTGAAAGGTAGGATGCCAATTTCCTTGCCTGGCGAAGATGAAAAAAGGCCTGCTTCCTTATGGCAGTGATCTGGGCCTCCATCGTCAGCGATGAGTCCAACACAACCCCAAGGCTTTTAACAGTGGCAGACGGAACCAGAGCTTCCCCATCGAAATCAGGCAGAGACTGGGTTAATTCTGGCGGCTGGCCGGGCCAGAGTATCTCAGTTTTTGCAGGATTGACTTTTAGTCTGCTCGCTCGCAGCCAACTCATCACTGCTTCCAAACACAGCCTAAAGTTCTCAGGAATTGCGGTTGTCCCAGGTTCGAGACACAAGAGTAGCTGGGTATCATCTGCATACTGGTGGCACTCTAGGCCAAAGCTCCGCACCAGTCCAGCAAGTGGCCGGACGTAGATGTTAAATAACAGGGACGAGAGGATAGCACCCTGGGGAACTCACTCCACAGCAAAGGCAGGAGCTCTCAGAGCTTTGGTCTCACCACTCCACCCTCTGTCTCCGGTCCCGGAGGAATGAATTGAACTATTTCAGGGCTAAACCTCCTCGTACACCAGTCAGAGCCAATCGATGAATCAGCAACTCATGGTCCACGGTGTCAAATGCAGCTGTGAGGTCCAAGAGTACCAATAGCGCTGATCCGCCTTGGTCTCAATGACGACGAATATATAAATACATGTGCTATATATCATACATGTATGTGTGTATATCATATGTGTATATTATATATGTATATCATGTGTATATGTATATTATAGCTGTATTATATATGTGTATTTTATGTCTATATACATGAGTTATGTATATATCATACATGTATATGTGCGTATATCATATATATATGTATATAATGTGTATTTATGCATATTATAGATGTATTATATAGGCATGTGTATTTATATGTATATATAAATATATGTGCTATATATCATACATTTATTTATTTATTTACAACCTTTATATGCCGCCCTTCTCACCCCTAAGGGGACTCAGAGTGGCTTACAATATATATATATATATATATGTATATAATCACAATATATTATATTATTGTTGTTGTTCATTCGTTCAGTCGTCTCCGACTCTTCGTGACCTCATGGACCAGTCCACGCCAGAGCTCCCTGTCGGCCGTCATTATATTATTAGCGTAGTACAATATCAGTATTATATATTACTATATTGTACTATACCATTATATTGTAATATTATTAGTTATATATATATATATATATATATATACACACACACACATATATACATGTATATGTGTATATCATATATGTATGTTATATATGTATATAATGTGTATGTATATTATAGATGTATTATATATGTTTATTTTAATGTCTTTATACATTATATATGTATATCATACATGTATGTGTATATCATATATGTATAGTATATATCATGAGCATTTATGTATATATTTGTGTTATATATGTATATCATGTATATTTATGTATATTATAGATATATTATATGTGTGTATTTTAATGTATAGATAAATGTGTTATATATTTATATCATATATGTGTATATCATATATGTTTATTATATCATACATATATATTATATATTTATTTATTTATTTATTTACTGGGCTTATATACCGCAGTTCTCAGCCCCCAAGGGCGACTCATTGCGATGTACAACATGACAAAAAACAAGTGCAATCTACAGAGCATAGTGCAAAACAGTGTACAATTCATCATAATCATAAAAACATCTTAACAAATTTATTACTACATTCCGAATCGTCTCATCGTCAAGCCACAATCCGATCTCTATTCCAGTGTTCCATTCCTATGGTCAATTGTCAGTCATTGCACTATTGATCAAATGCCTTCTTAAATAGCCAGGTCTTTAGCTTCCTGCGGAATATTAGCAGGGAGGGGGCTAGCCTGATGTCCACGGGAATGTATAGAATATATGTGTATATATACATGTATATATACATATATATATGTATATATATACATGTATAGAATATATTATTATTTATTTATTTATTTACTTTGCTTATATACCGCTGTATCTCAAGCCCGAAGGCGACTCACAGCGGTTCACAAACAGTAAAAACAGTAGAAACAGCAGTGGTTCCATACAACATATAACAATTGACTTAACACATTATCCATAAATTACCAATAAGCAATTACAATGCACAATTATTACAAAAAACAACCGTACCCACTCTTCTCATCATCCAAGCGTAGTCCAGGTTCGTCGTCCATTGTTCCATTCCTATGTTCCATTACCAGATTGCACTAAATTACTCAAACGCCTGCACAAACATCCAGGTCTTCACCTTTTTGCGGAATACCATTAGAGATGGTGCTAGTCTAATGTCCGTAGGAAGGGCGTTCCACAGCCGAGGAGCCACCACCGAGAAGGCCCTATCTCTCGTCCCCGCCAGCCGAGCTTGAGAAGCAGGCGGGATCGAGAGCAGGGTCTCCCCGGAAGATCTCAAAGTCCTGGTGGGTTCATAGGCAGAGATGCGGTCAGATAGGCAGCTTGGGCCGGAACCGTTTAGGGCTTTAAAGGCCAACGCCAGCACTTTGAATTCAGCCCGGTAGCAGATCGGTAGCCAGTGGAGTTGGCGCAACAGGGGGGTTGTATGCTCCCTGTGCTCCGCTCCTGTTAAAATCATGGCTGCCGAGCGTTGGACTAGTTGGAGCTTCCGAGCTGTCTTCAAAGGCAACCCCACGTAGAGAGCGTTGCAGTAGTCTAAACGGGATGTAACCAGAGCTTGGACTACCGTGGCCAAGTCAGACTTCCCAAGGTACGGGCGCAGCTGGCGCACAAGCTTTAGCTGTGCAAATGCTCCCCTGGTCACCGCCGAAACCTGGGGTTCCAGGCTCAGCGATGAGTCCAGAGTCACACCCAAGCTGCGAACCTGCGTCTTCAGGGGGAGTGCGGCCCCATCCAACACAGGCTGTAACCCTATGCCCTGTTTGGCCTTAATAATAATAATAAATAATAATAATAATAATAATTAATAAATAATAATAATAATAATGTAGATTGTGTTATACATGTATATCATATATCTATTTCTTCTATATTGCATGTGTATTATATGTGCATTTTAATCTCTATATACATTACATATGTATATCATACATGTATGTGAATATCATATATGTATAGTATATATCATGTGTATTTATGTACATATGTGTGTTATACATGTATAACATATAAGTATATGTCATATATGTTATGCATATTGCATATGTATGTCATGTATATTGTATATGTATATGTGTGTAGCTAATACTGATTTTGAGTTCCTCCAAAGTCCAGAAAGGGCAACTGTGCTCCCTTTCCACTAAAAGCATGGAAATGCCCCAGTCGCGTTTGGACTACGACTCCCAGCATCCCTTCGGCACTACAGCCAATGGCGAGGCATGCCGGGAAATGCAGTCCTTCGCGTCCCCCTAGCGCTCTCGCTCTGCTTCCTCCTCCCACTCTCCCTATTTTCCCTTGTCCCCGCCCCGAACTCTCGCGAGACTTGGTTGCTTCTTGTTCCCGGCATCCATTTCGTGGCGGCGGCGGCGGCTGAAGGGGGGAAAAAAGAGGTTTTCGGCGGAGTGGCGCCCGCCATGTTGGGAGCGTCGGAGCGGCTGTAGGCGGAGGAGGAAGGCTGGGCCTTGCGGGGAAAGGAAGGCAAGGGAAGCGGGGAGGGAAGCGGCGCGGGCCGGGAAGAGTAGGCCTGCTACTCGAGTCCAGGCCCGGTTGCGGCCTAGTCGCGGCCTAGTCGCTTGCGTGAGGCCTGAGGCCCGGAGCGGCCGCCACGATGAGCGGGGGCACGCCGTACATCGGGAGCAAGATCAGCCTCATCTCCAAGGCCGAGATCCGCTACGAGGGCATCCTCTACACCATCGACACCGAGAACTCCACCGTGGCCCTCGCCAAAGGTAAGGCCCGCCTTCGACGTAGAAAGCCCAGGCTGCCTGCTTTGATCTGGAGTATCTGGCAGTGTGGACTCAGGGCCCTTTCAGACAGCCACATAACCCAGAATAACAAGGCAGATAATCCCACAATATCTGCTTTGAACTGGGTTATATGGCAGTGTGGACTCAGGGGCCCTTCCACACAGCCATGTAAACCAGAATAACAAGGCAGATAATCCCACAATATCTGTTTTGATCTGGATTATGTGGCATTGTGGACTCAGGGCCCTTCCACACAGCCATATAACCCAGAATATCAATACAGATAATCCCACTATCTGCTTTGAACTGGGTTATATGGCAGTGTGGACTCAGGGCCCTGCCACGCAGCCATGTAACCCAGAATAACAAGGCAGATAATCCCACAATGTCTGCTTTGAACTGGGTTATCTGAGTGAATCCACACTGCCATATAACCCAGTTCAAAGCAGATATTGTGGGATTTTATACAGTTGTGTGGAAAGGACCATAGACTCATCTTATCCAGTTCATATGGATTATCTGCTTTGATAATCTGGGTTATATGGCAGTGTAGACTCAAGCCTCATCTACGCAGCTGAACAGAATCCCATATTATCTGCTTTGAACTGTAATATATGGCTGTATGGACACAGGGCCCTTCCACACAGCCATATAACCCATAATATCAAGGCAGAAAATGCACAATATCTCTTCTGAACAGGACTATATGAGTCCACACAGCCATATAATGTGGATTATGTACTTTGATAATCTGGATTATATGGCAGTGTATATGGGGCCTGAGAGTTTGGTAAACACCATGCAGATGATATCCTCCTTTGGCACAGAAGAAGATTGAGGCCTTGTCAAACTATAACTCCCAGGATCCCACAGCAAGGAGCAGGCATGGCAGCTCAATTGGCTCCAAGGCTACTAATTCCACCATCTTGAGCAGCGCTTTCCAGACTTTTCCGATTAATGACATGCTTTGTAGACCTGCATCCTGTCACAACACAGGGATTTGGTTTTACTAGCAAACTGAGGTTAGACCAACTCTACAAGAGTTTCATACCACATATAAGCTTTCCTTTATACGTCTTTCCTGTTTCTGTTCTACAGTTGGTTCCTGACTTGGCACTCCCGGTAATTCATCACAAACGTCATTGTCAACATATCTTATTATCTTAATTATAAACTTTTCAATTTTAATTGCTGCAACTCAATTAACAAATTGTGCAAACTATGAAAGTTATTACGGTACCTACGCTTGAAAAACACCAGCACTCCACTTCTGCCAGGATTAAACCTCTTTGGAGGTTTTTGACCAAAGGTTGCATGGTCATCTGTCAGGAGTGCTTTGATTGGGCTCAAAAACCTACAGGGGAGACTCCATGGAAGGAGACCACCAAAGGGCATCCAGTCCAATCCCCTTCAGTCAGGCACGAAAAGCACAACCAAAGCGCTCCCAACAGATGACCACCCAGCCTCTGTTTAAAAAAAACGTCCAGAGATGTTTAATCCCTATAGAAGTGGAGTGTTGGTTCTGTTCAGGAGTTGTTGCTGTTCTAGCATATAATTTGCACAATTTGTTGATTGAGTTGCAGCAACGGCAATGGATAAGTTTCGAATTAAGAAAAGGAAATCTGATGACAGTGGCGTTTGTGAGAAATCAACTGCATAACATATGTTTAAAGGGGAAATGTCCAAACTTTGTTTATATATAAAATCTTCTATCTATATAAATAAAAATGTTATGTTCGTTTGTGGGATTAACAGAACTCAAAAACCACTGGACGAATTGACACCAAATTTGGACACAAGACACCTAACAACCCAATGTATGTCCTTCACTCAAAAAAAATTAATTTTGTCACTTGGGAGTTGCAGTTGCTGGGATTTATAGTTCACCTACAATCAAAGAGCATTCTGAACCCCACCAATAATGTAATTGAACCAAAACTTGGCACACAGTTCTCCCATGACCAACAGAAAATACTGGAAGGGTTTGGTGGGCAGTGTCCTTTAGTTTTGGAGTTGTAGTTCACCTACATCCAGAGATCACTGTGGACTCAAACAATGATGGATCTGTACCAAACTCTACACAAATACTCAGTATGTCCAAATGTGAATGCTGGTGGAGTTTGGGGAAAATAGAATCTTAACATTTGGGAGTTGTAGTTGCTGAGATTCATAGTTCACCTACAATCAGAGCATTCTGAATCCCACCAATGATAGAATTGGGCCAAACCTCCCACACAGAACCCCCATGTGGGCCACAGCAACGCGTGGCAGGGGATGGCTAGTTATATTATATTATAAGTACAGTGCAGGAGACAAGATGGAACTGCCTTCATGGCCCCTCTCTTTAAACCATCTATTCAAAAAGATCTCAAAAATAGTTTGGTAGGGAAGCTGGGTGGACCAATAACTCTGATGTGGTATAAGGCAACTTGATACATGCTATTTGTATGTGTATATTTCCTTAATACATATTTGTGGAAGTAGGAACCATAATTTGCAGAAGTAGGAAGGAAGTTCAGGATTGTTGTGTCATCAACATAAGAGAAATGATGTAAAAACTTCTGCTAAAACTGTAAACAGTGGGCCTCTGTTCAGCAACAATTAACTTTTCTGTTCTTTTTATTGATAGCTTCTGGAGTAAAATCTCCCTAGACATAGACTGCATTGAAATGTTTGGTTTACAAACATCTTCCCTCCTGTTTTTCTCTGTGAGCCAACCTTTTCCCTCTGTGTTCTGCCGTGTTTACTGGGCAGAGTCTTTAGTCTACATACAAGTTTATTATGCTCCTCTCCACCTCATTCTTTCTCAACATATGCAGTTTGTTTTGTTTTCATACTTCCAAATCCTGTTTCTGCATAGTTCTGTTTCAGTTAAACCTGCAAGGCTGCAAAGTTACACAAGAGTAACTCCTAGTATATGCATGAAGACATATAGTTGATAGCTCTGCAATAGCATTTTTCTTCACAAAGTGTGCCTTTTTCTTGTTTGAACTGTGTCTCTCTTTCTTTACATTTTGTTGTCACTTTATTTTATAATATATTTCTTATCTATATAAATTAAAATGTAATGTTCATTTGTGGGATTAGCATAACTCAAAAACAACTGGATGAATTGACACCAAATTTGGAGACAATACACGTCTCAGGCCAACGAGTGACCATCACTCATAAATACCGAAAAACACAGCAAAAGAGACTTAAAAAGCCTTTTAAAAAAAAAAACACATTACAACGCATGTTGTAAATATATGCAAACACTCATATATACACACATACACAAATATATACACACACAAAGCACGTATACACAAACTGGGCCACAGCAACACTTGGCAGGGGGCGGCTAGTTTAATATTATTTTATTTTTAATGTCATTTTTGCTGTCATTTTTTTAACAAAATATTGTTTCCTTCGGTTTATTTGATTTGTTATGATTAAATTTCTTCAGTATATATTTCTTGATTATATTTCTTCAGGGAATGGGAGTTAGACATCTATTTTATTTTATATTTCTTATTAAATATTGTTTTATATTTTAAATATTTATTCATTTCTTTCTTATTTTTATTTGAATTCCTTTTGTTTATTTGATATTATTTTAATGATTACATTTCTTTGATATATATATATATATATACACACACACACACACACATATATAGATATATATGTATATTTCTATTTCTGCTGGGAACATAAGCTGGATATGTATTTTTCTTTTATTTCATATATATATATATACACACACACACACACATACTATTTCTGCTGGGAACATGAGTTGAATATGATTTTTTCTTTTATTTCGTCTTTTTTATTTAATAGTATTTTTATATTTATTCATTTTTCCTCTCATTTTATTTTAATTCCTTTGTTTTATTTCATTTTTTTCATGATTATATTTTTTGTTATATGTTTCTTATATTTTTTTCTGGGAAGACGTGTTGTATATTTATTTTCATAGAATAATAGAGTTGGTAAAAGCCATATGGGCCATCTAGTCCAACCTCCCGCCATGCAGGAAAAGCACAAAGTATCCCTGACAAATGGCCATTACATTTTTTTATTTAACTTTTAAAAATATTTTTCCTCTCATTTTTGTGCTCAAACTTTTCAGTTCTGTAATCTTAATTTTGTTCATCGTGCATGTCTGTTAAATTACTCAGATGAGTAATCTGCTCTCCTTACTAGCCAATTTCAAGTGAGTTTCCTATTACAGTGTTTTGATCCAATCCTGTGAATCCTGTGTACTTTCTCTGCATACTTTTAGTCAATTTTGTAGTATTTCCATGATACTGAAAATGGAATCAATAACCATAAAGTTTCTTTGTGTTCTCCTGACTTTGGTTGGGGAAGATTGGGAAGTTACTATCTTATTTTGCAATCCCTAAACACAGTGAAGAGCAAATCTCTGCATTTCCGAAGGAGCTCTTTCCTAATGCTACTACCTACACAGCCCCCCCCCCCCAAAACCCTTTGTTTTGATCTAGTAACAGAAATTGGTCTAACATTTGAGGCACCAAAATGTATGTTGACCAGTGTTTATCAGTTGCTGATCCCCCAGCAACAGCAAAAATATCGCTCTGGGCAGCTAAACCAGGCAATTCCAATGGGATGGCCCCCCACGGGGGTCTTTTTCTAGGGCCAAACCAAGAATGGGCCACTTGGAAGTCCCTGAACAAACTCAGAAGTGGAGTGGGCAGATCCAAAAACAACCTGGCAAAATAGCACGGCCTAGAAGAATCCTCCACCTGGTGCGACTGTGGAGAAGAACAAACACCTCCGCACCTGTATGCTTGCCCACAGTGCCCTGCCTCATGCACAGAGGATGAATTGTTTAAGGCTAAAGACAATGCAGTTGTTGTTGCTCATTTTTGGTCAAAAATTATTTAGCTGCTTGTGCTTCTATTTTGTATCAGTTTTACACTTATTCATGCAATGCTTTTGACACACAATACTGTATATACTCAAGTATAAGCCTA